ATGTTATGTTATGTTAAGGATTCGAAGACGGGACTCCTTACTTCTTGGTTTATTATTAATTCAATTGATCCGTGTCACGTCGTGTTAATACTATTGAAGAATCTTGTTATGTTAGATAAAGTCTAAAGATACATTGTTGACATAAGGAAATAAAATACCATACATAAGCATTCGATTTTTAACAATATTTATTACGAAAAGTTTACAATCATCAGTTTTTTTTCTAGCCAGTAGTTAGAAAATCTAGAAATTACATGTGTAATCCACGTCATGTAAAGAACCTACAAACTGGCAGGTAATTGCGATACTTACGCAGGTATACTAAGTTACATATATTTTATAAAATTAAGCACTTAAATATTTATCTACATGTTATAATCTGCAATTGGTCTTCTTGAATTTAGCGGAATAAATAAAAGGTCCATAATTTTGTACTACTACTAATAATTATTAATAAAATACATAGACTAGGATTAATAAAATACATAAAAAGAAATACTATCTCATTGGCCGAGTGGTTGCAAGTGCGACTGCCGGGCGAGGAGTCTCGGGTTCGATTCTCGGGTCGGACAAAGTATTACTGGGTTTTTCAAAAAATTCACAGTAATAGCACGGTGTCTGGAATTGTGTCCGGTATAGGTTCACCCCCTATTACATGGGACTCATAACATAAATAGTGAAATGTGGGTGTTACATTGTACCTAGAATAATGTACACCTCTGATCTCTGCCTACCCCTTCGGGGATAAAAGGCATAATATTATGTTATGTTATAAAAAAGAAATATTACAAAATTAAATGCATTTAAAAGGCATACAAAGGCAAATTAAAAAAACAATCTTATAATGTACTTAAAATGAATTTAAAGACGTTTCATTTTCGGCCACAGAACTTAATGCTGTAGAAGTAGTAGTAGGAGCTTGCATACAAGCTAATTCTTCACGATTTGCCTTCATTGATCTCGCTAGTCTGAACAGGGATTTACGGCGCGCTATTTTAATCAGAATACCATTTTGTATGTTGAACCTGAAAATAGAATACCGCTTAATAAATAAATTATTATGTTTTCGGCTTACTCACGTAGTAACAGGGAGTCGACTAGTTTCAAGCTATGCTAGAGGCTCATATTCATGAGCAGCATTTCGCGACCCGTGACGCGGCGACTGTCGCGCTGCTACTGGCTACTCGAGTGAACAGAAAGTGACTCCTCTAGTGTTGCGGGTGTCCATGGGCGGCGCTGATCGCTTACCATCAGGTGATCCGTCTGCTCGTTTGCCTCCTATTATATACGTGTTGTGAGTACGAATAGAGAAGAACTTTTTTTGTTAGCTACTTGTGCTAACTTGCCCTCTAAATAAGGTGCAATTGACATTAGCAACGTTGATTATATAACAATATAACCAGAAGGTCTAGTGCAAGTTTATTTTTACGTTAAAATGATCGAAACGTTAGCCTTTTGATTGGTTGATTAATTGGAACTAGGCCACTCAGAGCACCGACCGTCATACACGTGTCGATCACGTTAACCTAAAACAAGCTTGCACTTGATCTGTTAGTGAGTGCGATGCTCACAAAATGAATAATACTACCATTTTATTGCCCTTAATTTTGTCATAACAGAAGTATAAATCAATGATATCAATTACTATTTAGACACAAAGTAAATTATATATTGTGAACTTACTTTTTGCATAGTTCATTCAAAACGTTTTTGTCGAAAATGTACACGAAGAATATGATGACTCCGATTAGGCTGTTGTACGAGTTACTCAGGACGAAGATGAATGTGTTATTAGAGTTTGGAATCAACTCGAGGACCCAACTGATGCCCATAGTAAGTGACAGTTTCATGTAAGTCTTATAGCTGAAAATGATAATAAAAAATGTACTTCTACAATTAAATTAATCGTCAAAAATATCTATGCGTGAAAGTCGTGAATTCATTACGTTGCCATATCAGAGTTGTTGTTAAAAAATGATGACTGCTTCGTTGCCCGCGTGGTCACAAGTGCGACTGCCGGGTTAGGGGTCTCGGGTTCGATTCCCTGGTCGGGCATAGTATTACTGACTTTTTTAATAATCTCAGTAGTAGCACAGAGTCTGGAAATATGCCCGGTATATGGCAATAGGCTCACTATTACATGGGACTCATAACATAAATAGTGAAAAGTGGGTGATACATTGTAAAGGGGCATTAAATGCCGCAATGTGCACCTCTGCCTACCCCTCCGGGGATAAAAGGCGTGATGTTATGTTATGTGTGTTAAAAAATCAACAGATTCATCGATTAATTTGCTAATTATAAGAGTGCTCCATTTTTGTTATTACCCAGCTAAGTATTGTTGTATTTTCTGGAATAAGTAGATACTCAGTTATAAAATATATTCGTGGAAATAATAATTAAATTTTCGTTCAGATGGGGAAATATATTCGTTGTACGGGTCCTCAGCCTATTTATTAAGTACATCTGTTTACACTGGGACACATAACATGCATAGAGATATTCGTGTTACTTTTCAATGTTATGTTATCATATAAAACTAAGATTATGTATTTTGTGATCACACGCACCTGTTTTCCCTGCCACTTCGTCTAAACTCTGCATTTCGTTTTGTTGAGTATGTGGTTGTCAATATATGGTAGATCGTTATTATGAACAGGACTATGTTAATAAACATTATCACACCCAGTGGTATGAAATAGTACCTTTGAACTCCATACTCTGAAAATAAACACAATTCTTAAATTGGCAATCACAGCAATCATTTTGAATGGTGGGAGGCCACATGTATACGTGGGTACACCATGCAACGACACGATTGGGTCGGCTCGACCAGGGATAGGTACTACGGCCTCACAGAAAACCAGCGTGATACAGCGCTTGCGTTCTGTTTCACCATGTAAGTAAGGTTCTCGCCCCTTAACTCGTCGAGCACCGTCATTATAGACACAATTATAGAACAATAGGTTGCGGTCACCGGTGACCGCGCGGTGTTTGAAAGTTTAACCCCATATACTTTATCTCAGATACTGAAATCACTCATCCACAAATGGCCAGCAACATAATTGTAACTTCCCTGGCTTTGTCCATGGGCAACGTTTATTGTTTACCTACCATCACATCATCCAAACGCTCGTTGGTCGTCCTATGCCATATAAATATTGAAATATTGAAAAACATAACTCTATTTCTTACTTATTAGAAGTACTTATGATAATAGGGTTATTTGGCGTTTCGTTGTCTCTGCCTACCTCTATAGTAATTGTATACATGAACATAATCATGTATACATTATATACTTACCATTTTTGAAACAGTCGTCGAACGGTGGTTTGATAATATAATTCCATTTACTAATGTCAATGTTGTCCAAGCAGGTGACGATCCCAGTGATCACCAGTGGTACACCCCACGCGTACAGACTGTATCGGCTGAAACTCAATAACTTCTCCCGCCGTGATGCTTTATATACTCCAATATTTTTTCTGCGACAATAAATAAAACATTAAAGAAAGAAATACAAACTGTCTCGAAACGTCATAATACATTTTCCCGCCAGTTAAGCTAAATAGCTGCTTGTTCCAAAATGCTGAGGCTAATGCAGAATAACGAGCTAGAAATATCGTTACTGTTTATTAGTAGTTTCATATTATAATGCGAATAGATAAAAGGTATATCTACCTAAATGATATTTAAAATGCACCAGAGCGATTGCCTCATAATTTAATTAATTTCTTACTATAAATAATTTAATTAAGGAAAATAAACGAATTAACGAGGAAACTAAATTGATATTTGCGTTGTGTTTCGTCGTGTGAGTGAGGTTACCGGAGGCCGAATTAACCCCTGCCCTTTCCCCCTTCCCAATCCCCGAATTCTCCACTATCCTCAAATTCCCAATTCCCAAAAGGCCGGCAACGCACTTGTAACGCCTTGGTGTTTCAGATGTCCATGGGCGACGCCGATTATTTACCATCAGGTAATCCGTCTGCTAGTTTACCGACTTATGCCATAAAAATTCACCATTACTAACTAACTAACGAGTCTGATTACAACTTGTAGGAAATATAAAATTAAAATAAATTTATCTACATACAAAATGATGTTAATGCTTCGTCGGTAGGTTATTTGTTTTTGTTTATATTCTGCATAATAATAAACAAAAATTAATTATAGAATTGAATATTTTTCCTATTGGTCGTAACGATCCTTGTTATCAAATAGCTTGGTATTTATCTCAGTCAAATATAAATTATTTTGATTGTAAGTAAATGAATGCCACCAATGGATACCCGCAACACAAGCACAGTTACAAGTACGTGGTTAAGCTTTTATGGACTTGGGGATTTGGAATTTAGGGATGGATCGAGCCTCCTGGTAACGTCAATCACACAACGAAACACAATGCATTGTTTCGCGCCTATTTTTTCCATGGTATCACTCAAGTCTCTAGACTCTAGTCGAACCGGCTCCTTCGTACTGAAGCACAGGGCTGCCACGTTATAAATTTTAATCAATAGATAATTTGAAGTCAAAGTGTATGTTACAATTAAAATGTAATTTGGTACTTTTGAAACGTTAGCAAAAATAAAATAAGTTATAGTCTGTCAGTTTGCAAAATAATATGCTTTACAATCTCTGTGATAAAATATCCAATATTTTACATATAATTATGTACAGTACCTACAAATTGTAGATGAGAATCAATAATACCGTACCTATGTCTGGTTCCCGAACATATACGTATCCTACGTACAAATTATTATTATTATAAGCACAATAAAAGATTAAGTGACAATCATTACATTTACCTCAATCCCCGCCATATACAGAATGAGAAAGCATTTAACCAGAAGAAACTCGACATCAATAGAAAATATAGAAAAGGTGCTGCAAAGAAAATTAAATTGACATCAGCAAAATAAATGATGAGATAGTTAATCTATAGTTCACAAGTACAATTTCATACTTATTATTTTACACCTCTTATTCGTCATATATCCAATTGTTGCTTGCATGATGACTTTGACTATGAAGGCCAGTAGAATTGTTATTGTGTACGCCATCATTAAAAGTCCCGTGAAAGATGAGTGTAGCGTTCTTAACATACAATGAACTATAAACACGAGTAGTAGGAACACAGATGATATCAGCAGACCTGGAATTGGTCAACATAATAAATACAAAAAGAGGGAGAATATAAGTTATAACTATTACCAATTGTGTCATCAAATTACTTTTAACAGCACTAAACGATGTAGTAGAGAGAGACAAAGATCTTAAATAAATAAAAAAAATTAAATTGCTGTTGCAACGTGGAAGAAAGAAGAATACACATTATAATAATCGTTGTATTGATTGCAGGAACTACATCGCAGATTGATAGCGGGAATTTTAACAGATATTATACTAGCTATAGTTCCCTTAGATCGGAAAAGGAGGATCCTCCGACCAGGCCAAGTTATCATGCCTGGAAATCTATTCTGTTGCAAGTAATTTTCTATGAATGATGATTTTCTATGAATTTTTAATTGGGTGCAAACTCATTTGTGCAATGTAGAATTTTATGACGTCATCCAAAATCCGGATTAACAGTAGTTTTGATAAAAAATCCAGAAGATTGTGGAATTAAAATTAGTTGTTTCGGTTGTAAAATATAACCTTTTATATTTTTACCTATGAATAGTAGGATATCATTTAGTCCATCATCGTCATAGAATTGATAATATTCTTTGAGCACTAACAAAATTGTGGATTTTCCGCTTCGGTTTTCGAGTTTATAGTCTACGCAATATTTTGTGGCGGTGAGGATAATCCATTTTTTGCTATAGTTTTCATCATAGATCATGACCGACGCATTCTGAAACAAATAAAAACCGTTTCTTTCTGAACTACACTTGTGAGCAAAGGTACAGAGCCCCTAGCGTTATTTATTTTTCATATCTTAATAAATATAATCTGATACAAATAAGATATCTTAACTGTATGTATTTATTGAAATATATGAAATATACGTATAATACCTACAACTAAATCTATGAATTAGGCGTCAAAGTACTCGTCCGCATCACTATCACCGGGTAACGTTCCCAGAAGACCGGCATTGCCACGTTGAATGGCCATGCTTATTTTTTGTCCGACGAAATAGCCAGCTCTATGGTCACATGTATAGTCGATTAGCCTACGGGCGATTTCTTTATTGACAGAAAGTGCATTAGGACCCCATGGCTCAATGCAATAGTTACCCACAAAATTTTAATATATACGCCGTTTAAGGGTCTCTGCCGCACCAGCACATGCCGCTGCATGTACCGTTGTACTTAGAAGATGGCGCAAGGGTGTCTACACACGTCGCGTCCCACACCAACGGCCTACCCATCTTCCAAGGCAGCAACGACATATCGTCTGGTCTCTTGCCGTCATCACGTACCAAACCATTAGGTTCAGATACAAGCCTTTTATTAATCGGTATCGTATGTCGCATAAAAGGCAATTTACCCTTAAAATGAGAACATTTTGTTGTAAAAGGAATATTTTATTTAATTGTAACTGGTTTTCTAAAATGGAGAAATGCTAGTGGGTCCGTTACTTTTCTCCAAAGCGTATGTTTTATGTCTTATATTGGTCGCATGATGGAAATGCGGCAGTAATAATAATTATGTACCTAGACTGATGCTTTATTATTAACATTTATCCTAAAAAATGTTGAAATATTACTGAGTATAAAGAAGAAAGTATATATTTTTTTTTTTTTTTTAAGGGGGGAAAATCATCGAATGACTGCCCCCGCCTGGGTGAGGCGGGAGGGAGTGTCAGACTCTTACTGACTAAAAACCACCCCGTTCCTTCTCCTGCACGTCGAGCCGGAGCCCCGGTTACCCGTTAGGTTCTCCGCGACTCCGAATCGGCATCGGCCCTATTGGGCCCCATCTGTGGTGGTCTGATGGCTCTTTGAGGCGCGCGCGGAACGCGACGCGCCGTACGCTCGGGTCTGTTTCTGGTCGGACGGGGAGCCACCCATGCTCGCCGTCCGCAGGCCCGCGCTTACGGTGGCCGGAGATCGTCCCGCGATCTCCGACGCCCGGTGTGTCCTTCGCGATGGCTGGGTTGCGAGGAGGCAGCGCTTCGCTGCCTCACGCGTCCCGCCTCCTCCTTAGCTAGCATGACTGCTTCGCAAAAGGAGGAGACGGCATCCCAATCCCCCTCGCTCCGCATCATGGCCTGCACTAGGCCCGGACGCGAGAGGTCGCCATCGCCGATCACTTCCCTGAGGACACGGCGGTGCTCAGCCCACGAAGGGCATTCTCCCACCGTGTGTTCCACCGTGTCCTCAGGGCGGTCCTCGCAGTGATGACACCCGGGCGTTTCCTGCCGCCCCATCAGACACAGGTACCTCCCGAAACTGCCATGTCCGGTGAGGACCTGCGTCAGGCGGTAGGTGAGGACGCCGTAGCGTCTCTCAAGCCACTCCTCAAAGAGGGGACTTACCGCTGCGATGGCAGCGAGCCCAAAGAAAGTATATTACAAGCTTTTGTTTATCTTGCAAATTGTGTATATGCGTGATGTGAATCTTGCAACTAAATTTTGGAGCAGATATCTTCAACCGAGTAAGCTGTGAATACATGTTTAGTTTGCATACACATCCATGATTAGCTGTGTAAATAAAATTAAAAAAGTTTTAAAATCAATAATTAAATCTGTGTACTTACTTCCGTAAAATAAAATGTATCTTCGTATAGCAGGTTACTGTGTAAATATCCACACATTGACATATTTTTATTGTTGTGAATATATTTAAATTTTCTTTTAACTACCTGTCTTGGCTCCCTATTTGAATAGAAGGTAATGTTATCATAGTCTATTAATGTCAATAATGATTTAAATTTTACACTGAATGTCTTACGGAGGTCTTGAATCTTAACACACTTAGCTCCAGAATTATCGATGCAATATCCATTGGGGCAACATTTTTGTATACACAATTCGTCAGAACAATATTTATTCACATCAATAGTAATGTTATTTAAATCTCTGTAGTCGTCTAAACACAGTTCTTTTAATTGAATCTCACATTTCGATACAGACCACAAAGTTAGAAACGGGAGGATTTTGAGTAAAAACATTTTAATTTAAATTACACTTTCATGAACAGAATAGTATGAGTCGGGAGATACACTGACCACTTACGTACAATTTAAATATTTTTTTTGTAATTTCCTGTTCGAAGCTAGGTAGATACCATGTTACAGCTTCGATTGTGGTTTTCCTACAATATTAAATGAAAAGTATTAAATGATTTGAACCTATTGTCGGGGTAGTTACGATTAGTACTTAATCTATACTTCATTTAGTAATATATTATAAGTTGAAGAGTTTTTATGAACAGGCTTATCTCCTTACCTACTCGTTCGAATTGAATAATATAGAATATAATATAACATCGGCTTCATAACTTGAACATGCTGAGAAAAGCTCTACTAGTTTCGAGTCAAAGAGAGACTCTTCTTCATGAACATCGTGCACGGTCGCGACGTCACAAATCTATGAACAGAATTATCTATCAACAGTGCCTATGTATGGACCAAAAAATCTACGAACAATATTTACAGTACAATATTTCAGTGAGCTGCGCGACGTCGCCGCGACCGCGCACGCTGCTCATGAGGAAGAACCCCTCTGTGGTTCGAAACTAGTAGAGCTTTTATCAGTATATTCACGTGAGTAACTCGCGTTTTTACTTAATTTAGTATGTCTCACGATAGTTATTATAAAAACAATATTTACTACCGACGAAATATATACGTATTTCTGTATTATACTAGCTGTGGTAGAATTTAGATTTTTATATTTGCCTTTTCCAAGGTTAATTCCAATGCAGTTATGTAACAAATCTCATCAGAATCGATTCAGTACCCACCTACGTCTATTTTCGTAATTTCAAAAAATTAACAATACCACAGCGGTTTTACTGGTACAGCATCCGTTCCCGTGAGGTTTTAATAATAAAAACTATTCTTTGTCCTTTCCCGGGTTGCCAACTACTGTTGTACCGAATTCCAATCAAATACATGGAATGGTTGAACACTCTCAGGCGTCCTTTTCCAGGTCTCAAACTACCGTTGTACCGAAGTCTACTCAAATAAGTTTAATGGTTTGAAAGATAGCTAGAGGCCTAGAAGTTTAACGCAGTTCCCGTTTCGGGAAGAAGATTATCATACATCTTTTCCTAGGTCTTAAATTATCGTTGAACTGAATTTCAATCAAATAGGTTCAGTGGTTTAAAATATAGAGTCCCTGGTATATAGCACATACTTCCTGTTATTCTGGGAATTCTGGATTATAACTCTGGTACTAATAATGTGGCCTGAATTGTATCGGTGCGATGCTACTAATTTACTACTATCTAAAGGAGACTGGCAATCTTTCATAGTATATTTGGTCTCAACGGACCAAAATTAAATACTACAAATTTTCAAGAAATAATATTTGTGATCAGCCATGTGTAATTAGTTTATTGATATGTGCAAAAGCACAATTTCGATTATATATTTTGAAAATATTATATGATTCATGGATGAATTCATTTATTTATGTCTTTGGTCTGCTGTCAACCTCTTTGCGTACCTCAAGGTTAATAATCAATTATACCAAAAAAATTGTCCATGATTCATTGGCTCTGCGGCTCTGTGAACTCACCTGTCAAAAAAATGTCAGATGATGTAGAAATATTTTGTGACTACTCACGTGGCATAAATCCTCCAAATATGTATTTATGTGTTCCAAAGTACACACGTACACTATCTTGATAGATAATACAATTGAATTCCAACTTTATACAGCAGTATTAAAGTGCTAATTGACTCGTTGACGTAAGGAACATTCTTACATTGCCTAGACAACAGTGAGTGCTTGCAATATGAACTTTATTTAAAATTAAAATAAAGCTCAAATGGACTGTAAGTTTTAGTTTGAAAACATTTGTATTGGAAATAGAAAAGGGCTATATTTAGGGTTATTCGGATAATTATTCGAATTTTTTCGCTGTAAAAACCATCCTTAATTATCAACGAACATAAAAAAGAATTAGCCAAATAAGTCTGGCCGTTCTTAAGTTATGGCGTGACAACGGGAAATTGGTTTCATTTATATATATATATAGATTTTACACTCTACACAAATACATATTGTCATAATGTGAAGGAACTTTCCATCGAATTTTCTCTTAACAGCTAAGTACATATGAATGCACTTAGATACACACACACACACACACACACATTTAATTTTGGTTTCAGGAAGCACTTTAAGGGAGTCTCCTTTAAATAGTAGATAAAAAACGCGTGACTGATGATGATGGCGCCAAGATATATTCTATTTACTCATTTTGACATATAGTCGGTAAGTATATGTATTTCCATATATTCAAGGAGCTTTTTGGGAACATCAACACGTACTTTTCTTATGGCATGTTGACACTCTAACGTGATCATTACTGTTATAGTTCGACCTCATCGTTCGCTTGATAAAATTGACGTGTAAAAGGGCTGCCTTGTAGCCTATTTGCAGATAAATTCACTTGTTTCACAGTTGGTAATTGGGTATTCCTTAAGTTTAAAATAATTACGACATTAGTTTAAAACAATTTATTTACATGACTATTACTTCTAATATCAGTATTAATCTCTTGTCACTGCTCTCTGGGTCTCCTTGCCGTTGGTCGTTGTTCTATCTTCTAATCCGTTTAGCTCCTTTCCATTTTCTGCAAAAGATTATAATGTAATGAATTACATTTGCATGATCTTTTTTTTTTTGAGGGGGGAAAATCATCCAATGACTTCTCCCGCCCGGGTGAGGCGGGAGGGAGTGTCAGACTCTTACTGACTAAAAACCACCCCGTTCCTACTCCTGCACTTCGAGCCGGAGCCCCGGCAACCCGTTAAGTCTTCCGCAGCACATTTGCATGATCTAGTCCTGACACTATAGTACAGAAAGTAATATTGTGTCGTAGGAGTTACAAACATATTCGTGGTTTTTGTTTTTAATCATCAACTCATGTTGATGATTAAAACACTCATGTGTTTTGTATTCCAAGGGCCGATTTTTCAAACCCACAGGTAATTCTTAACTGTTTAAATTAAAATTTTCAGTTTTTAGTATAGAAGAATTGTTAAATAGACTGCCGGGCAAGGGGCCTCGGGTTCGATACCCGGGTCGGGCAAAATATTAGATACTGGGTTTTTAAAAAGATTTTTTTTTTAATATTTTTTTAAAAACCCATTATTAACCCAGAGAGTTTGGTATTGTGCCCGGTATATGGCAATAGGCTCACCTTCTATTACATGTTACACACCTTCGGAGACCGTCATGTTATGTTATGTGAATTGTCAAATTTTATCGCCTTAAGAAACACAATTACATAAGTGTAGGTACAAAGTGTAGTAGAGGTGAAATATGTATAGGTATAATTAGGTATTCATATGTGCAGCTCTGCCTATCCAGTCGACAATTAAAAGACGTGATATTATGATGGCGATCATATTTTGGGTATTGCGTTAAATTTTTAATTTATCTTTTTAAACGATGCAAGACAAAATTATACAGACCCAAGTGATTAAAAGAAATAACTCAAAAATGTATCTTACGTGTTTCGTCTTCACCATAGAAGTTCCATGGCTGCACAGTCCCCTTAGCAAACCAGACGAATATGCCGTTGGAGATGATCATGATAGCCACGAAGATCATGAAAACATACTGCCATTTACGGTGGTCCGTCTGTAAATGCAGAGCATTTAATAAGAGAAATAAAATTACTAATAGAATAAAATTAGTAAGTAACTTTGTTATGCATTGAGCATATCAATTGTATATGTAATACGGTGCATAATGATGGTAGCTCTAATTTTCAGGCCATGCCACAAGCACTGAACTGTTTAATACAGTAAAGAGCTTAATAGGTACTTAAGTAAACAAATAATGTTATAATAATAATTTAAAATTTCTGAAAAATGTACTTAGCTCCATGTCAATGATTTATCAAAGTCAAAGCAATTATTTAAATTAAATCGTAATTTGGTACTTTTGAAACGTCAATAAATACAAAATAAATAATAGTTAGGTGCTCATTTCAAAATGTAGATTCGAATGGAGAAGAACAAGAAACGCCATTCGTTACTCTTGTTTAAAAAAGTATGTTCATTCCACAGAGTTGATTACATTGATCAAGATCAAGTTATAATATTATTATCATTATTTTCTTTTAAATAAATACTTTGTGGCTCCAGTTTATTAGGCAAGGAGTTGGCACACTTTGTTCTTACCACGTCGTCTCTCACAATATTGGACACGATCACCGGTACGAGGAGACTGGTCAGGTTGGCAATCATATTGCCTAGAGCCATAACTGGTCCTGCGAAGTTCGGCGCCAAGTCTATTTGGTTTATCTGGAACAAACGGAATGGTATTGATACACAAGTTTAATGTCTTCCACCTAGGATTCAAGAATGAAAGGATGTCCTATGTCGTTTTTTTAAATATTAAAACAACAACTTTTATTGAATTTCGTAAACTTCTAATAAAACATAGGTACTGCTTAAGATTCATCGTTTCTTAACAATCGATCATGTTTTTTGAAAATGTAGGCTGTATCCTTATTTCCGAATACAAAAACTATGAATAAATAACGTAATAGACACTTCACTACTTAAATTATGCCATGTATTTATGACTGCCTCGTTGGCCGATTGGTTGCAAGTGCCTCTGCCGGGCAAGAGGTCTTGGGTTAGACTCCCGGGTCAGGCAAAGTATTACTACGGAGCCTGGATATGTGCCCGGTATATGGCAATAGGCTCAGCCCCTATTAAATGGGACTCATAACATACCTAAATAGTGAAAAGTAGGTGTTACATTGTACAGTGACATTAAGTGCCGTAATGTGCACCTCTGCCTACCGCGTGACGTTAAGTTATGTTGTTTATGCTATAATAGAGCTAAACTAATTTCGGTTTTATTACAAACAAATTGACGACGAAAGAAGTATTGTTTACAAACAAAATATAGGAATAAATAAACACAGAAAACCGGGTTTAACTACTGTGGTTTTTCTTGTAGTCTTAACGACAAACAAAGATTATTTTCATTTCATTGTCTGTATTTTGTCATGAAACAATTGGTTTACTTAGACCGACCTTACTTCTATGATCCGAGTCCGGAATACAGGCAAACTTAATAAAGTTCGGCACTGGATCAGTTGGCAACAGTGTAACGTCGTTATGTATCACGACTATCAATAAATATTGCGTGTATTTTCTCAAACTGTGATCTACGGTAACTGCAGGCCGAGTATTGTTCAGGCTGATTATATTATGTTATTATATTGTATTGCTTAGTTCAATATACGATATACGAAGTTACCGGAGGCGCCCAATTACCCTCCCCTTCCCCAATCTCCTTAATTCTTGAATCCCCTACGATCCTCAAACTCCTAATCCGCAAAAGGCCGGTAACGCACTTGTAACGCCTCTGGTGTCCATGGGCGACACTGATTGCTTACCACCAGGTGATCCGTCTGCTCGTTTACTGGCTTATGCCATAAAAAATACGAGTGTTAAACAATTCTGTTCAAAATTCTGTGATCATGCGCACGGTGCGTTGTATGACAGCAACAAGTTAAATCCTTTTACTTTCCATCACAGTTATAAATTGTAAAAGCAATTCACAAAGTTTGAACAAATTACTAAGAACGCAGTGTTTGTCAATCATTGACGATTGACAAAAAATTATACATTACATAAAATCGCGCTTTTTATCATCGATGGGGTAGGCAAAGGTGCCACTTAATGCCATTTTAAAATGTAACACACCCACTTTTCACTATTTATATTGTCATTCGCATGTAATAGAGGTGAGCTTAGAGTATTTAATCAAGGCCTATTGCCATATACTGGGCACAATTCCAGACTCCGTGCTACTACTGAGATTTTTTTTAAAACCCGATGATCGGCCATCGAGGCAGTGATATATAACTATACTTACATGAAAACCAACATGGATACCAGCGTGTAGACCGTGCGCTATCATGAGTACCAGCACAGCCCATGTCGTGTCATTTATAAAGCTGAACGCGAACAAAAATACTCCTGAACCAGCCATAGCTGAAAAAAAAGATTTTTAAATTCTAAGATAATTTCAAATTCATATAAATTACGTGATTCGACTTTCTCCAAGAAGATGTTTCTTTTTTGAACGTTGCCCCACATTAGGATTTTCTCCTGTGTCGTGGGTGCGTTTATAAACATACAAGTTTACGTACACATGACACCCAGATCCGAAACAACAATTTGTGGATCACACAAAGAGTTGCTCCGTGCGGGCATCCACTTCACTAGACGTTGCGCTGCAAAGGGTTGCCCAGTCATCTCACCAACCGTGCAGTCAAATATCTTCTAAATTGCTTATAGGAGATTTATGTTAACTAGTCTTTTATTTTTTGCCGTGCAGTCCAAAATAATTATGTGTGAACATTATAGTTTAAATATCTATACTATGTTTACTGTATAACACTTTTATTGATTTAAATAGCGTGAAAAGTAAATTAATCCAAAGCTATCAAAATTGGAACCAATTGAGGAAAAAATAAAAATTAAGTAAGTACCGATGCTGTTAGCGGTCCTCCTGATATTAACGACCGACATAATTTTCCTATTGGCCGCGAAGTCAGCTGCATAGCCGAACACCAATGCCAAAAGGTATAATGCAATATAGGGAAGTGATGAATATAAACCGTTCTGAAAGTTAAAAAAATACATGTCACAAAGTACTTGGCAATGTGGATGAACTTAAATAACATGCATAATTGATATTAGTAGGAAAAATCACTGCACCTAAAATTAGAACCGCGGTACTTTTAACAAGTGACAGTCTGTAAGTATATGGTTGACACAATTGTGGCCAACATGATTGGAAATTTCCTTTGTAAATTAATTGGTTATGCTCCCTATAACATTAAATTAGTTACACGGTTTAAAACTCATCCTTTTAATTTCTACTTCCCGTATTTTCGAATTCTAAGCATTCAATTTCTATTGACTTCTCCTTACTGGTGATGTCGTGAAATCAGTTTATATCAATTACCCTCTTGAGATCAACGTGTAAGATGTGGTTCATGTAGAGGGGGATCTCGGTGAGGATGAGCAAGTAGCTGGCGGCGCTGCCTGCGTGGGACACTATCAGACCCCACACAGGCTTCGATGTGAGGATGTGCTTCCATGGAGTCTTGCGTTTCTGAGAACAAAACGTGAAAGTGTATTTTTGCCGCAACTGCCACCGAGAAATGAATTATAGGTTTTATTTATGTACCTAGTTTTTCAGTTTTAGAAAACTTTTATCAATTTATAGTTATTTCAGGCCAAACAAAATATCAGTGATTATAAACAGGTTTCAAATGTCTCCTAAAGTTACCTTCGGCACAATATCAACGGCCCCATCTTCCATGATATAAGCAAGTTCCTCGGTTGTGATGGACGGGTGCTGATGAGGACTAGCGACTCCAAGCCAACCGAGGAGAGCACAGCTGAGGAGGCTCAGACTCCCGAACAACCAGAAAGACACAGGCCAGCCCAAGATTGGACTGCCAGCAAAGAGGCCTGACAGTTGAAAGGCAATGATTGTGCCAGCTTGAGAACCTATGCAAATAAAAAGGAATAATGTTTAGCATTTATAATCGAAAATCTGTTGGAAGAACCTTGGCCTAATATTCATCAGTAAATTTCAAAGGACTAAAGATGATAATGATGATATCAAAACATCAAAATATTACAATTAATCAAGTAGCAAGAATTTTATGTAACAAAAATAATGTTCGCCCGATAAGTTTAGGCTCGTTCATATCAGCAATGTATACAATAATTATAATGTAGAATGGCAAAAGTTTAGCGCTCCAAACATTCTCTATTGTTACCATCTCTCACGAACAAACTGCTACAGATGAACTTCATATTTTATAATCGCCTAACTTCGACTTTGTTATCTCGTGATGTAGAACTTACAGGGAAACACTGTAGTTGTTTTGCTGTTAATATTTTGGTAGGTTATTTCCATGATCTTAGTATGGATTAGAAGTTTCTATATAATACGTATGTATGTCTCATCCTTCATCTTATTATTTTCAATCATCATCATTTGTATAATCCTTCGTCGGCATTTTTTTTCTTAGAAATAAAGCACTTACCTGTATAAATATAAGTGCTAAGTCTGCCTCTTTCTCGAAGTGGTGCCCACTTGGCCAGCAAGGTGTGAATACTAGGATACATGGCTGCCTGTGTCATCCCCAGCGCTAGTCTGCTTATTGACATGGCGATCCAACCTCCCTGGAAAGATCACCTTACAAGCTTTTTCATTTCGGAAAGTTTTTGTGAATATCTTGTTTTCTCCACACTCACCAGTAAAGCTATCCAAGGTGTACAAATAGAAATGACCCCGTTTACAGCCAAAGCAAACATAATTGGCAGTTTTCCTCCAAATTTCTGGGCCAAGAGTCCCATAGGGATCATCATACTGGTGTACCCCACGAAAAAGGAAAAAGTTATCATCTCCTGAGTCGACTTGTGCCAGTCATATGTCTGGAATTGTAAAGAGTAACTAAGTAAGTTATAAACTGTAAAGAAAGTGCTACAGTCGAGTACGAATAGTTTATTAAAAGTTGAACTGCGCATCTGATAGTAAGTGCGTTTCATTTTATTAGTATTTTGTACAAGGTATTGTATTTAAATACTGAAAATAAGGAAAGGAAAAAAATACATATGTACAACTTAAGATACACTTTTTTTTTTTAAGGGGAGAAAATCATCGAATGACTGCTCCCGCCTGGGTGAGGCGGAAGGGAGTGTCAGACTCTTACTGACTAAAAACCACCCCGTTCCTTCTCCTGCACGTCGAGCCGGAGCCCCGGTTACCCGTTAGGTTCTCCGCGACTCCGAATCGGCATCGGCCCTATTGGGCCCCATCTGTGGTGGTCTGATGGCTCTTTGAGGCGCGCGCGGAACGCGACGCGCCGTACGCTCGGGTCTGTTTCTGGTCGGACGGGGAGCCACCCATGCTCGCCGTCCGCAGGCCCGCGCTTACGGTGGCCGGAGATCGTCCCGCGATCCCCGACGCCCGGTGTGTCCTTCGCGATGGCTGGGTTGCGAGGAGGCAGCGCTTCGCTGCCTCACGCGTCCCGCCTCCTCCTTAGCTACCATGACTGCTTCGCAAAAGGAGGAGACGGCATCCCAATCCCCCTCGCTCCGCATCATGGCCCGCACTAGGCCCGGACGCGAGAGGTCGCCATCGCCGATCACTTCCCTGAGGGCATGGCGGTGCTCAGCCCACGCAGGGCATTCTCCGACTGTGTGTTCCACCGTGTCCTCAGGGCGGTCCTCGCAGGACCTCCCGAAACTTCCATGTCCGGTGAGGACCTGCGTCAGGCGGTAGATGAGGACGCCGTAGCGTCTCTCAAGAACTTAAGATACACTAAACAACTAATAGAGAAAATAAATAAAAGAAAACTAAAAAAGATTATTTACAGAAAGCCTCAATAAATTCGTCCTCATCGACGTCAATAGGGAAAGTACCCAGAAGGCTGGCAGCATTACTTCTATACCAGCTTTGGTATTTTTACTCCTAGCTTAACATTTTTCACAGATTTGTTAACAAGCAAACCTATACATAAATCGTATTATTTTAAATGCGGACAAAACCACGTGTCTAAATCAAATATTAATCATTTCAGATAATAAACATCGCGTGATACATTAACAGAAATATCTGCAAATTCACACGATACTAACAATATCATAAGACAAACAGTACTTACGCGATAAATGTTCCACCTGCTGATGTTTGCATTGGGATCGACACAACCTTCGGAAATATTCCGAGTTCCATCAGGGAGTGTGCAGTGAGGGTCCTGTACCCTGACCATAGCTACCATGAGGACGCTGAGTTGTGACCTGATGGTGTACGCAATGGTTAGGCATATGAACAGTATTACCGTCTGTAGGTGCCGTATCCCTAACCCTTTTGGACGCTCCGGTGGTTTTTGAAGCTCTAGAATTTTGAAGTAATAAGGCATGTTTAGGGTTCGGTTTTAGTATTTTAGACGCTGGTCTATTGAGATGTCCTACACCGTGGGTGCATTCACAAACACATTAATGATTATTTGTTAGTGTAACTGTGTCACTTGTTTACAGACCTCTACATACTGAGCTGAATACAAAGAAGATGGATTGTCTTTATGATGCACATTGGTCATTGATAAAGTGTCGTGTTATTTTATGATCAGATAATTATATTTAGTGTCCGACCGAAATTTCGGTTTCGGTTTCGGTTTCGGCCGAGTTTCGGCCAAAAATCAAGTTTCGGTGGCAGTTTCGGTTTCGGCCAAAATCGGCCGAAACTTTTGCCGAAACCGAAACTCATGTCACACACGTTCACGCTCGCATAACTCTGTTTCCCGCGGCACTGTACGATTGTCATTATTTGACAAATAAAATGTCACCGCCAACCTGTATAAAACTTTTTACTCAGGCCATACAAGAAAAAAAAACTTTTTAACTTAGTCGTATAATTACTAATTGACAATTAGATATTATCTATAAAGGCATTAAAGGGAATATCTGAAAATGCATAAAGTTGTGGGAAATTACATAAGTATTCAGTACAGAGAATAGAGGTATAATAAAATACCAATACTTAGTATTTAATGAAACAGTAACAATTACTGATTTGATTAGTGTTAACTGATAAACATTATGCTATGAGAACTTAATTTGAAAAAATAATAAAAATGTTATGAATATTTTTTTAAATTATTATATTAAATAAATGATTACAACAAACTTAATACACTGTGTTTCCATTTCATGCCCTAATTAATGCAAAATAATAGGTAAAATGCACCAAATTTCAGTATCTTAAGAAATTTTATACTTGACTACGTAAGTTTCGGTTTCGGTTTCGGTTTCGGCCGAAACTGAAGCCACGGCCGAACATTCGGTTTCGGTTTCGGTTTCGGCCGGAAAACCAGTTTCGGTCGGACACTAATTATATTACAACAGGTCAGTACTCGGAATACTTAATGTTAAACATTAAATGTCATCACAGTAAAGTGAACCAGCAATATGATGAAAGGTTAGTTTTAATACGCTACATATCTGCTATGAAAAGATAATATTCTTATGTAAAAGATTTTCAAGGTCACATTCATATTTTATGGCCCCAGAGGGTTTTTAAGAAATCATGATATGGTGTTTCCGGAAGTATCTCGATCACATAGCATAACATCACGCCTTTAATCCCTGAAGGGGCAGAGTAGCCTACCCCTTCTCTCTTCTTTAGGGATAATTTTTTTACATTAAATACCCCAGCGTTGACATCAACCTACAGTTAATGTTATTATTTAAAGAACGTAACTCCACACTAGGATTTTCTTCTATATTATTAGTGTTTGCAAATATAAACACAATCATACCCTGACCTAGAACAACATTTTTTTCTGTGTGAAAATTGAAATTGAACCAGCGACAAGTTGCACACCTACCGAAGCGCTAACGATGCGATCAAAAAGTAAAAAAAAACGTTGGTAAGAACGACTTTGGATTTTCTACAGAGACCTTAACAATTCCTAGGCGCGTTTACAAATGGTTCTCTATCAATCAACCATAGAGGAATGCAGAGACACATACAAATATAACCTCACGCCCGTCTACCATGGGGGTAGGCAGAGGCTATGGAACGCTAATTGCTACGATACTTACGTACCTCTTTCACTTTATCAACAGGCATCAATCTTTTCATGCATGCTCGTCGGTTAAAAGTAAGGATGCAGAGATGAAAATGGCGAAACTTGCAACGGTGTTATGGGTTAAACCTACTCTAAATAAACATATTAATAAGTGATTTTAATCACTAAGGCTAAGGACTCACGGCGCGATCTTCTTCCGCGCTCGTCGCGGTGGCGAAATAGCGGCGGAATTTTCAAAAGTCACGAGACTGCAGATTTCTGCGATCCCGCAACCGCTGCGGTTGCGATTATCGTCGGCAAACTAAAAAATCAGTTGAGTTCCAGACCGAACTTCCTATTGCGATTGCCCCCCAATCGATCACAGAGCGCTCAGGTGCGGCCGCGACCGCAAACAATCGCAAACGCCGCGGGCGTAAAATGCACCGCGAAAATTGTTATAATATTTTCCATACATATCTGCATTCTACAAAGGCTGCGGGCTCGCAACTACAGCGAGCACGGGAGGAAACCGCGCCGTGAGTCCTTAGCCTTAGTACATATTATCAGATTAGTTATAATAATTATACAATGACGTACCTTCTCGCTTCTCATCCTTGGGCACAGATTCGTACACAACGTTCCTGCCTGCCATAGTTTCTTTCAATGTTACCTTAAAACTAAATAATTACAAACTGAACTGACTGCCAGAGATAGTTACATTTAAACAAGAATTACTTTATTTGAACAAACAATTAGTTATAGTTATTTAGGTTGCTGTTCTGAAGTGTTGTGGTGTCAACTTTGATTTGATTTCTTTATCTGATTGTTTCCCAAGTGATATAGAGGTGTTCTTAATTTAGCACGAATTTGGTACACTACAAATACATATACTACATAACGTGAGTCTGCATAGATGGTTATAAAACAAATAATTCTTTTATAAATGACGTTTAGAAAAACCGAAATTTGCCCCCTTTTTTTTGAAGTCGGTTAATTAATACATATACTACCTCTTAAGTGTAACAAACACTTTTCTGAAATCGGTTCAGCCAATCGTGAGATATTCGCTCACACACATACACACATACTCAAACTGAAAACCTTCTTTTTGACTGAAGTCGTTTAAAAATATTCTAAATCAATAAATACATACATACATTTTAAATACACAATTATAAATACGTTTTGCTTGTGTATAAGTTTAGGTATACCACTCTTTGTTTTATTTAGGTATATAATTTCAGAAGGTAAAATCGGAACCCAGTAATTTTATAAATTTGAACTAACAATGGTCACACATAACATCAATATCAATATACTATGCTACATACATATATTGGAGTTGTCTATGTTCAGTAGTAAATGGTCATTATCATGCTGCTTTTGGGGCAGTGAGGAATGATGAAGAAAAATAAGGACACATAACATAACATTACGCCATTTATCCCCGACGGGGTAGGCAGAGGTGCACATTATGCATTGTATACCCACGTAATAGGGGGTGAGCCTATTGCCATATACCGGGCACAATTCCAGACTCCGTGGTACTACTGAGATTTTTTTTTAAAAACCCAGTAGTAGTTTGCCCGATCCGAGTATCGAACCCGAGATCCCTTACCCGGCAGTCGCACTTGCGACCCCTCGGCCAACGAGGCAGTCAAACATTGAGATTAAACATTAAGGCGAACAATATTAATTGTGTCTTTAATAAACACTTTTAAAACTTAGGAACTATTTAATTATTTACAAAATAAAGCAAGCATAGCCGAGAGCTACAATTAGTCTCCACACAGTAGTACGTTCCTAATATCAGTACAAATAGAAGAAATCAATGTTTGCAGTGCTTTGCTTATCTCTCGTCCAAAACATGTCGACTTGATGGAAATGTTAGCACTGCCAGGAAGTCTTAGATTGATTTACGCAGAAACATTATGCGGTACTATCGTAACAATGTGTGTACTTACTGTTCTGATGTTTTGTACGGCAAATTCAGCACAGAGGACAGGGGAAGGTCTATGTTTAACAGTAGACATCTCCTGAATGATGATGATGCATAATAACATTCACATCACATCACTTCAACAGTCTACAAGCAACCAATACTGACCAAAAGCCTCTCTTCGTACGGAGAATAGATATAACACTTCATTCCTTTTATTTAAATGGGACTCATTTTTCATATTTAGTGTCTAGGACGTGTTTATTGATATACATTACATTTGCATCACACTTTGATCAACGCGGCACAGTTATATCCGGTAGAGCTGATGCCCAATCCGGAACTGTAGACAACTAAACAGGTTACCGGGGCTTCGGTTCAAAGCAGGAGTAAGAACGATTTCTCGGTCGTCTCGGTCTCGCCTCACCCAAAGCACCCGCCTTGTCTTCACCTGAAGACATTGGATGATTTTCCAAACTTAAAAATACTAAGAGTTATCTCGTATGAGGAATAACTTTGGATCACTATACAAATATATGGGTACCAGACACCTACCAGCAGCATAAACCATCCACTCGATAATCGACGAATCGATCTCTTAGCGCGCGCGCCGGCCTAGTAGTTTTATATGTCTACGATCGCCGCCTTGACGATAGCAGCGATACAGCTCGGGCGCCGAGGGTCCGTGAACTACTCGCTTGCGATTGGTCCGTTATATTTTAAGAAAAATTAAAATTTTAGATTTCCCGAATTATATATATAAGCTGAGTAAACGTTCTAATAAAACATTATGTTCTAAAACTTCATTCGTGTTTTACTTACTATCCCTTGGTAAGTATGTAATAGCTGATAGTCAAACTACAGCACCAAAATTAAATGTAAAAAAAAGAAATGAAATGAACAATATTACTAAATTACTATCGACAAACATTGCTAACAAAATATAAACCAAAAACCTGAACACAATTAACTAAGGCATTCACCCGGACAGGAAAACAGCACGTGTACTTATTAAATAATTCAATAAATTAATATTATCAATCAATCAACTCTGTGCAGTGACCTCTCAATCCATCCGGCGGGAGATTGAATCCCGAGTCCCACAGTAATTACATCGGCGATCGATACAGGGAAGTTAATGCCATCTGATTAGCCAGGCCCAGTACAATATTATTGTGCCCACTGATCACTGATCAAACTGCTGTGTTTGAGGAAAATTGAGAAGCTGACTAAATGATACTTGCAATTTTCTTGTCTTAAAAATCTTATTGGGCAGAAGAGTCATTAAAGGCAATTCAGATCCTGTCATATTACAGAAAAAATATAAATTAATACATAGATATCGTCAGTATAGACAGACACAATAGACCGATGACTCAATTCTGACATACCTCTTTCGCTTCATTTAAATTTATTAATCAAAAGCCAAAGTTTATATGTTTATTTGTACTCCTTCACAGCAAAACGACTGAAGAGATCGAGACCAAATTTGGAATAGGGATAGATTACGGTCTGGAATAACACATAAGCCACTTTCATCCCATGGAAACGCGGGCAAAGCCTCTATCAGAGGCTAGTGTTACAATATGTATAACTGTTAAAAGTCGAATAATACTTTTGATTTAGCTATCCACTTTCGAATTTAGAGTACGAATCTTTAGACAAATAACTTATTGTACCTACGTCTACAATAATATTTGGTACAGATTACATAAAAAATGTTAAGCGCACTGAATAACAGAATCTATCAGTAAAATCTATCATTAAAATGAATGTAACCAGTATGCTCTTCAATGTTCATACATCAAAAGCGCCTTGATCCTTTAATAAATAAATAGTAGTCGTACCATTTACCAAGTAACCAATACAATGATGAGGATCTCAACTTTATTGGGGATTAACCTGAATCCCCGAGGACGTAGTACACGGACCTCACAGATATTGGACCTTGTTGGGGACAGCAATTACTTATCTTATTGCTTTGTCATAAAATTGATTTTGGTTTGAACTGAGAAGTAGTTTTGAGGATTAAAACAAGTTTATTGTATCGAACGAGACTTGTATCGAGACATTTATTAGTATCGTTCAATATTTACGAATACTCAGAGTTATATTTAGGATTCTAATAACTTGCGAAGTAATTGATTTTTTATGACTTCATTCTTTATTTATGAATGTCTTTGTTCTAGTAATTGAACATTATTATTGGTTTCAAATTGGATCTTGTACTTTTATAATTGGTTTTCTAATTTTAGAAGAGACTTCCAAACGTAGAAGCAATGTAACATAGAATTAGAACCTAAGGTATACCTAACCTGAGATCGAACATGTTTTAGGCAGGTCGGCGATTTATTAAAAGAGGGTTAAGTAAGAAGGACGCTCAATCGACGAGAATGCATGAAGAGGTTAGTGAATGTAGATCAAGTTAAAGAGGAGTGTCAGAAACGATTCGTTTGGCATTCCATTGTATCTGTCTACCTCAATGGGAGACAGGCGAGACGAAATTATGTAAATTAATTGTTATGTTTTTTGGCTTACTCACATAATTATTTGACGAAGAACTCGACTAATTTCAAGCCATGCTAGAGCCTCATATTCATGAGTAGCATTCCGCGACCCGCGACGCGGCGATTGTCGCGCTTGAAGGCGTGAGTAAGCCGAAAAATATAATAATTATTTTAGTATTATATGTATGTATTCATGGAACCTAAACCTTGTCACACACTCGCATCACTATCTTTTTAAAACAAGATCCAGATCGCAATCATTTAACTGTAAAACGTTATCTCAACAGCAATTATAACACTGCGAAGTTTATTTTAGTTTGTTTGGCTCTCTAGTCTCTTTAACTAGAGGTTGGATTATAATTCTTTAACATTTTCACGCTAGGATACTTGTAAATGGGCCATGAGGGTGAAACCGCAGGGCAGTGTGAGTATAGCACCCTTATTAACCCTTCCACAGTCGAGTGAACTCATATACGTTCCGCAGCGATTATTTAACTATTACCCGGGTTATGGAATGTTACACAACGCTCGGATCTCGCGTTTTAACCACACTTTAAACAAAGCTTTTTAATTTATTACGGACGTATTTTATTAAGTCAAAATTAATTTGAATGTCTCGTTGGTGAACTGGTTTTTGTTGAGGTCTTATATTATATTTTTGAGTAAAACTTATCTTCGAAGGTGTAAGCAGAGTTGCACATTACATTACAGTAATTAATGCCACTGGACAATGTAACACACACTTTTCATTATTTAATTATGTTATGAGTCCCATGTAATAGGCGGTGAGCCTGCCATGTATCGGGCACAACTCCAGACTCCGTGCTACTACTGAGATTTTTTTTAAAACCTAGTGATGCTGTGTTTTAAGACTTTAAACATTAAAAGTTCTGAGTACATTTCATCTGTGAAATTAGGTCCAGTTTCTGATATTAGGCTTACTCTATATTATGTCGAATTCATAGGCTAACTTTTCGCAAGTCGTGAGTGTACATTGGACACGGAATATACCTCTATATATTTTTTTTGTATATCGTAAAGTTATGAAACTTAACTCGTCGAGCACCGTCAATATAGACACAATTAAAGAACAATAGGTTGCGGTCACCGGTGACCGCTTGGTGTTTGACAGTTTAAGAAGGATTGCAAGGGCATATTTTCATTAAAAACTTCCTCAAAAAGTTATTCAAGAATTTTTTTTTTTTAATCTGAAGACTTACCTTCCCCGTCTAGCTGAAGCAGTCAGTAATTAATATCAGCTTCATAGCCATCCTTGTAAATATCTTGCCGGTGCCGGTCAGCCTCTAGACATATTAAAGGACCGACTTCACCTGCA